AAAAGCGTCATCTTTCAAAAGCGTCATCTTTCAAAAGCGTCATCTTTCAAACCGGCAGTCTAAATCCCACAGGGATCAACGAACGCTTTTCATTCCACTAATTTATTCTTGTTTTTCTCGTTGCCATGTTCCCACCAATAACGAAGCTCCATTTTCTGCCTTCAAAAACACACACAGCCCACAATTCCTCTATTCGCTCCGACGAAGGGCTAACGCTCGAAACGTCAGCTTTTGTAATCGTTACGGTGGCCAATTTACCATTTCAACTGTGTTGATATATCCAAATTATTTGGCTTATAAATACAGGCGTTTAGTTATACTTGCAAAACTCCCTGAAGAAGTCTACGACAGTTAGACGAAACGCGTCGGAAAATAAGAACAGTTTTACACACTACTGTTCGCAGAAGTGCTGCTCACTAGTCTATATTTTAAAAAAAAAGTAATTATTTATTTTTTTGGAGGGGAAGAGGGTGAGAGATACACATATCACTGGCCGCCATATTGGAGGGGGTACACATATCACGGGGATACACATATCACGGGGGGCACACATATCACTGCGACACAGGGAATTTGATTCTTTGAAAATGAAGATTTTTTGCGTAATTTTTATTTTTTTGGTCGGGAATGTTTTTGTGCTTTATGGGGTATTTGCAGTTTGGAATTTAAACTCAGAGGCTGGTCCGCAAAGAGAAGACAAATCAAATTTAGAATTCAAGGTACGATCAAGAGCTATTATATGGGAGTACCTTCCTGATTTTCATTAGTCCCCAAGGTATTTCTTCCTGTAGTCTTATTCGGCACAATCACTCATTTTTCTCTTTTCAAAAGTTTTCAAAGCTTGTAGCAGCCAACACACCAACGGAAGTGTGTTACCTTTTTTAAGTGTCGACTCAAGCTGGGTTTCCGTTTACTTCAGGGTTCAAACGGCAAGTTTATCGTTATCTACAAATTCAAGACCTCTGTTTATTCCAAAGTTACCTTTAATACTAGGTGCAATGACCTCGTGCCGCTATTTTCGCTAAGGTGAAAATCCGACATCGAATTTCAAAATAAATATCCCACGATATGAAAAGTTAATGATATAAACTAAACCATACCTTACTTTTAATTGAGTTCAGAGAATGATTTGATAAGCAGCGATCTTCACGTTTCACACTATCAACAGTCGAGTCCACGTACACACCGCTACTCTGTTGTTTCAATCACGATATTCTCATAGTTCACAGAGTAAGGTTCTGTGGGAAACAGAGGCCGAATTAAAATTCCCACGTCAGTTCACTGTACACGCTATTTGTTAACACTTTACCATTGCGAAATATGTGATTTATAGCCCACTGAGTTTCTATCTGTGCGCTGAGACCGCATTTAAAGGGCCACAGACTTCCGTGTGATTTATGACCCACTGTGTTTCTATATGCGCGCTAGAATTAGAATTAAAACGTTTTTGCCATTATAATTGTTTTGAGGCTGAGGAGACCGCATTTAAAGGGTCTCAGACTTCCGTGTGATTTATGACCCACTGCGTTTCTATCTGCGCGCTGGAATAAAAAAAAATAAAACGTTTTTGCCATTATAATTGTTTTGAGGCTGGGGAGAACGCATTTAAAGGGTCTGAGACTTCTGTTTGAAAAGGAATCGATTGGATAAGGGCTCCGCCAGGATGTGGGATAAAAATTTCAAATGCTGAGCTTTTTAACGTAATCATATGGTAAAAGTAACGTTACTCTCCAGCAATATGAGCTTTCGTCCTTCAATGATCTTTAAGTCTCACGATCTCCCCCCCCCTCCCCCTCCACTGAAGCATAAACTTCCAATCAACTTCCTTGACAACATGATGAGAATTAATCAGCAGAAAATATCAACAGGGAAGAGTCCAATTCGGAAAATTGATTGGATGGCCTCTAGAATCGGATAGATATCTTTAATTATTAATATTTGACGAGGGTTGTTATTCATGAGGAAATTGTCCTTTGCTTGGAAGTCTTGACTATTAAATTTGAATAGAACAAAAGTTAGTTTATCTAAGAATCATTAGGACAACAGAAAAACAGGGGCATCAGTTAGTGACAACTTGTATGTAGGAAAAAATTATCTTCCCTGTTGGAGCCCAACAGGGATGACACTACTGAAGATATACCGATTTAGTTGAAAATTTTTCGTTAGAGATTAATTGTGTTCCCATCTAGATTACTTCTTGTAAATGGCTCAACCGATAAAATTCACTTGCCATGGCAAGTGCAACCTTTTAGTATCGCAGTTGTTAGCAAGCCGAGTAGCTGATGGGGGCAAATCAAACCCGCATAATATTTACGATTTACGTGTGTGCCTTGCAGCTGCAGTCAACAATTCAAGCTGTCACCTTGCGTCAACGAAAAAACGCAGTACAGTTGCTTTAATATCTGATATCCTAAGAACGATGTCTTCCGTCACAGCAAGACATTCCCGCCTATTCGCTGATAACGATGTCAACATTTACACTTAACTTGGTCACCTTCGAAGATTTCGTTCCCTGTCTGCCAACACGCTAAAGTGACGGCTACCGGATTTGAAACAAAACAATAAATGATGACATCAAAGCTTGCTAGGAACAAAGTGCGCCCGTCTAGCAAGCAAACACAGTTTTATTAAGGCCTTGGGTGATGCGCGAATGACACTCTGTGAAAGCCAGACGGATTCTAATTCAGTTCTTACAACGCAGAGTAAATTTATGTGTGTGGTTTGGTAGTCCTTACCTGGATTTCTAAGATACCGACAGTCTTCTTGCTATCATATCCAAAAAACGTCTGGGGCGTTCAGATTGTCTGTGGGATATTCCAAAGACGTAAAGGTAAATTAAAGCACACACTCTAATGACAAAGTTTATTTCCTTTCGGTCATGCGTTAGTAGTTTGTCCTGAATTATGTGTTTACGATGGAAATGCCTTCGTAAGGCGGAAAATCTTAACATGGTTCTTGTTTTTTTTATTTTTTCCTTCCTTGTAAAGAGTAAGGGCCAAATTTCTCGCATTGATATTTCATCAGTTGAAATATTTTCATTGATCATCGACGGGACCTTTATTCTTAAATAAGAGATTACAAATTTGTGTGTGCACTAAAGAACTTGACCACCAAACTCTCCAGTTGATTCCTGAATAATTTTCTCTCCTCATTCGATTTCATTAAATAACAGATGGTTCATTCGCGTGCATCGCATTAAAAATAATTATGGTTTTGTATTAATCAATGTAACTGTAGTTGTTAAAAGTAAATATGCATCATTTGACAATGAATTAACAACATGTGAAACAGCAGAAAGAAATCAATGTCAAGGAAAGGATGTAATTTCACTATTTACTACCTCGATTGTCTTGTGCATAGTGTTATGAAGTTTAAACTGGGGGCACAGTTCTTTCGATGGTAAAGATCGAAAGCGAATAAAAGAAAGCGAAAATTTTTCGTCCTTTTTCTCACATTCTAACATTTTCGTCTCATGTTTTTATAAGGTACTCTACTCGGTGAACTTTGCAGCCATCTCTTCCACTTTTCGTTGAATTTGGTGAAATTCGTTTTTCAACTAGTTTTTTTTGTCGCTGCAGTCTCTTTTGCGAGTTAACAAATTTTGCATTTTAAAAGCTGTGTGGAATGCTTTTTTGTGTGTCGAAGGAAGTGTTGCCTAATACTTCTTTTTATCATCAATGAAAATGTCTAAACTCTAAATTTTAGTATATAACATGAATTAGTTTTAGAAATTAGCATCAGTTGATCAAAAAGCAAGATAAGGTGGACTGTACACCAACTTCTGTTGTTATCTATAGCTAATGGTGATTTACTCTTGCTGTTGTTCTGCAGTAGAAGATTAAAGCGATAAACTGTATTTTCTAAGCAGCGATTAATTCTTGTCAGTGTTGCTCGATGTAAATATGATCCGGGAAGAATTTAAAATTAAGTTTTAAATTTTCTTAAAGGAAACAACTCTACTGTGTGTAATTTCCCTTCTTGAATCATGTGTAACGCAGTTGCGTTTGTCTGTCAGGAATAAACTGACCATTTTGTCCGAAGACTTCCTGCTTTCTGATCTGTTTTTATCTGGTTGCTAACGTGGCTCACTAAGGCACATATAGTTTGATATGTTTTGACAGCCTTGAAGCCTGGTTGGTTAGAGAATCAGAACACGGTCGACTAACTGGAATCAGGGTTTAAAAGGTGATGCTATTCAGTTTCTCAGTAACATAAATTTATGTCCTCTACAGCGACAAAGGTGCTAAAACAAAGAATAACTCTGAATTTGAGTTATTTCAATAAGGTTTGTAATACAAGATAATCACAGTATACAAATTATCATTTTCATTTTCCGTATTTCTTGCAGACTGAGCAATTTCGAGAACTAAATCCCTTTGTGAAGGACCAATTGTACTTTGTAATCCTTTCCTGTTTCAGTTTGTATTTGAATAGCTTTTCAAAAAATAATTTATAGGACATTTTACTTATGAAAATGCTTGAATTGAGGGTTTTGTTACTACAGCACCGGTAAGGCTTTCGTAAATATTTCTTGAAAATACTAGGAAAGGTCTGCTACGTTTAAAGAATTGAACCGTACAAACGTTTTTAAAAGGTGGGATTTCGACAAATACATTGCTCTTGGCAAACAAAAAGCGCGTACTTTGATCTCTTACAGATTTCTCCCGCTGAGCCGATCTTTTTCTTTCGTTTCATTTTATAAACTTTTGTCGTGTTTAACTTGTAATTAGTTACTGTGTTTTATGGTCAAATTTAATTTTTGGCATTGCTCCATTTTTTCATTTAATCTGAAGTAATTAAAAAACTGAGATTAATCAAATGAAGATGACCATTGTCGGCTTGACATGCAATTGCCAAAGCAGCACTCTTCATTTTCGCATTTTCTCAATGTAAACGTTTGGCGGAGGCAGATAGAATAATGACATATGCTCCCTAAAGAGACGAATATTTAGAGGAGTCCGTTCAGTTTCACTGACATGATAAAGTCTTGTGAAGGCGCTTGGAACGAAAAATGTAATTTCTGATACTGAATTAGTTTTATCAAGAAATAAGATTCCAAACGAAGTATAGATGTTCAAACTTTCTATCTCCTTTGTAATAGTATTTAAGTAAGATCTACCGCTGGAAGATAATCCTAATTTTAAAAATTAGGAAGATTTCAATAATCTTATTTTTTTCTCATCCCAGATGTAATTACACTGAAATTTTTATCTTGACATAATTGCCTTCTAATTCATTTGCAGGCAGATTCACCTGTCTTCTTTTTCAACGCTTTGCTAAAGAAAACACAGACTTGTATTGTTTTCCGTAGTTTGAAAAACGTTTCCTGGGAACAAAAATCATGGCCTGGTCAACTGGGTAAAAATCTTGACCTTAAACAACGCGATCTCTACGTAGACATACAGTGGGGTTTTGTGAAAGGAATGATATAAACGACCACCGTCCTGTCGGCAAGAAGGCCCAGCGGGATATTACGGGACATAATAGGAAGTTTCATAATACCAAATAAAGGATTGAAAGATACATTGTACTGCGCAAATGTTTACAACTACCCTTCAAACCGCGTGACTTTGATAATTTGCGCCCCAGTGGTTCATTCGAATTTTAGGTGAGTGAATTTCTGCACTCTGGCAACTTCATATTGTTTCCCGCTGCGACACAGTTTTTGTAATTTGCAATTTTGGGAAGATTCGAGAGTCAAAGACCTCACATATCAGTCTCTCCTAGACGCTTAGCGGAATCTAATGATCCTAAGTGCATGATCTGGAATATCAGACGTTTTGACGTTTCCTTTTTTAACTGGTATGCGGCCTTTCAGTGGATAATCGAATTACAGATTGCGCAGGTGAATAAAGGTAATTAACAAAACCGGCAAAGTGCCACACAGCTGATATGTCCACGATACCTCACGCTAAATAAGCCAACGAAAGCCGTGAAAGCGACCGTATCAGCGAGGTGTGCGAATAAATATTTCTATTAGGAAAACCAGGAAGACCCATTTATCTACCTCACAGCATCACCACACAATTCAAGACATTCTATTTCACGTCGATCGGTTCAAAAATTCTACTGATTGTTAGAGATACCCAACAATGTTTTTTGACGGTTACTGGTTTCACACAAATCTCACAAGCATGTTATTTTACGTGTTTATTTCACTTTGTACAATCTTCGGTAACGTGCTCGTTTGCACGGCGTTCATCAAAGATCCGTATCGTCAGCTACGAACGCTGCAAAATTATTACATTGTTAGCTTGGGGATTTCCGATCTTCTAATGGGGATAGCCGCTGAAACTGTGCTTATTGGTACTTACTGGAACGACAGCGAATCGGTGTTTCTCGCTCATTATCTCTTCGCCATCATTTCTGGTGTATCTTCTTTGTTAAACATGGCTGCGCTGTCGATCCACCGCTACTTCTGTGTCAAAAGACCCTTGAATTTCCAAGAGGTGATGTCGCGGCGACGGATTTTGGTTTCCATAGCGATGATATGGACTTATGCAGCTCATTTCTCCGTTCTGCCGCTATTGGGCTGGGTAGACGCCTATTTCCAGATTTATTTGTACGGACTGGGCTGTTTTTTACCAAGTGTGATTATTTTCTTGGCTTACGGCGGGATTTTTAAATCAATTCACGCACATACGCAAACACTCAAACAGGGTCCTTCGATTGGAAATGCTGCGTTGAAAAACGCCGTGGCTAGGGAAAAATCCACGACGAAGACGATGCTTATAGTTCTGGTTGTATTTCTATCGTTCTGGTTTCCATTCCTTCTCGTTGACTTGATCATGGTTCAGTGTACCAGATGCAGATCGTTTGCGTTCCATGTTACACGCGACGTTACGCTGACATTAACCTACTTCAGTTCCTGTGTGAACCCTCTTCTTTACGCATGGAGAGTCACGCAGTTCCGCAGGGCATTTGCTCGCTTGCTTGGGTTGCAGAAAGTTATGCTGAGGAGAAGCAATATGGTTTATCCAATAGCATTAACGACGTTTAGATCGCGAACAGAAGCTGATCGTCATAGGTCTTTTTACACAAATGCATTGTAATCCACTCATATTCATTTGGTGTTTGCTCTTTGATTTGTTTTTTATCCTGTTCCTCGTTATAAGTCCAGAATTACAAGAAATACAATCAGAAAGTGATGCACCACTTTTTACTCGTTTTACAATGGAAAAGGATCTCAGCAAAGAAATTCAGCCCACATTTCTATGGCGTAAACGAAGTAAGGCAAATCTCTTTCCCAAAGTCTTCCTCCCTCAGGACGTCGTTTCTTTCCGCTCAAATGTTGCTGCGTAGTAGAAGAAGCGATTGAATACTTATTAATACCAGTCTATATGAAAAAAAGAAAAAAAAAATACGTGAGGATATAATACATCAATACATGACAGCTGGAGCATAAGGTGCCTAACTGCAATAAGCACATTTTTAGCAAAGATCCCTTCAAATGCTTTATTGATTATTCGTCTCGTTTGGATACGAATACACTGGGGCAATTAAGACGTATGAAGCAAAAACAGCTTAAAAAGGTCTGTGAAACCGCATGTTTATGTAAATACCTCCTAGACCACGGTGAGTTCACTCGGTGATATCCGTTTCAGCGCCATTTACAACAGCTGAGGTGACGATGAGATCATTTGAGATGATTCACTTGATATTACAGTTGAATCCCGCTTTCTCGAACATCCAGGGGAAACGCAAATTGGTTCGAGAAATCGGGGGGTGAAATTACAAGTGAAGCAAATCCAAGGGAAACAAGGTTTGGTTCGAGATATCGCGAGGTTCGAGAAACCGAGGGTTCGAGAAATCGGGATTCCACTGTACTTAAGAATCTTGTTTACCCGTCATTTCCCTTTTAAACTTGGTCTGGAAGAAAGACATCTGGCTCGTCACTCATTTAATTTTTTTCATTTTCATCTTTATTGTTACCTAACTTTGACAGAAGATTTTTGTATTGCCATTGAAACCTTAAAGCAGAACTCATCTTAATGACACCTCATTCTTTACAATGAACTTACGTAGCAAGGCATCGATTGCGAGGTGTTCTCGAAATTTTCCGGCACCGATTAAAAGGAACTTTCGCTTTTTGTCTCTATGTCATTTTTTTCGTTTGTCTAATGCATTGAATAACCACCCATTTTCGCGAAGGTAACAATAGTTCGTAACCAGTTCCTGTATATATTTGACTTCACAACTGACTTGAAAGTTGAAATCAAATTTCTGTGTTTGTCACACAACCGACAGAGATTCGTTAAAATCACTTTCAATTACGAAAAAAGGGGAAAAATGCACCTGTCGCTATCTGGTGATTCTCAATGCGACACACACACAAATCAGAATGATATTTGCTTTACCTAAAAATAACCAGAGAATGACCTAAGAATCTCGTTCAGAAGATATCTTGGGTTTTCATAAAAAAAAAAAAGTCTAACTCGATTCTAATGCTTCATTGACATGGCCTTCACTGACATCATCTGATCCTGATTTTATGCTTGAATCATTTATCTTAGTTTGTTTGTCAGAGCTGTCAACGCGAAAACGTAGAGAAACCTCAGATCTCGAGATCCTCTTCCAAAAGAAAACGCTCCTCTCCAGAGGCTTTTGAAGACCCAGTACACGGATAAACGCCCTACGGAACGTCTTAACCCGCCAGGCATATATTAACGGATTTATTCCGCTGCTGAAGTAGACAAGCGAAAGGGTAATATCTCGGGCAAGATGAAATTCAACGGTTCTGCAGCTACGACATTGAACAATGGCGAAGTCTATTATCAAAAATGGAATCCATAAACTCAGAAATACGACAAGGACCAGCAAAACTGTTCGTGTCGCCGCTCTTTCCGTGCGCAAAGCGTTTCTGAGAGCCAAACTTTTCCCTTGTTCCAGATGCCTTAACGAAATTGTATGGCGATGTAACGTGCGGTATACCAGAAAATAAGCCACAATAAAGACTATAGTAGGGATGATGCAACCGCAAACATATAAATACAGCTGAAATGCTCTTTCTCTCCATCCTAGGACGAGAAGAATGGGATAATGAATAGCTGTTACCCACATAACACCGATGCTTATCAAAACATTCCGTTTGTTTACCATGCTCTGCGTCTGAAAGGGCTGCTTAACGGCAAAATAACGGATTATGGAGAGCGCTGTGATGTTCATTAAAGAACAAGAAGCGGAGATGATGGCGAACAAGTAATGAATGAAGTAAACAAGGCTGTGACTATTCCAGTAAGTTACCACCATCAGAGGTTCTGAAATGATACCCATGATAAGATCGGCGATTCCCAAATTGAGTATAAAGTAATTCTGCACACTCCTTAGCTCGCCGAAGGGATCTTTCCAAAATGCTACGCAAAGAAGCAAATTCGCAAAGACCGTGAACGACGACACGATGGCGTAGACTATCATAACTGTTAAACTGGTGTTAACCCAGTACTCGTCAAAGAAAACCGTGTACGATGAAGACATATCGATAAGTTGCTCTTGCCGCAACTCCGTCAACAGAGAAAATGTATGAATCTGCAACTCCCAACCGACAACTAAAAATGTTCACTTTTTGTAAAATCGTTCCTTGTTTTCCAACTCAATGCATTTATATCATCGAAGGACGGTTTCAATCTAAAAGTTATTTTCTAGTCTTACAACTTCACCTTTCCGATATAGATTATGCTCTGCTCACCATGAAATTATCGGCTAAGATTCCCGAAACCCAAAAATTATAATCAAAACTTCGATGCTCGTCTATTCGTTCTTATCAGAGCATTCATCCACCTGAAATTTGATTGAAAGAAGTAGCCCTACCGAGTTGTCTGCATAAAACAGAGAGGACCCCAAATCTCTTGGAACTGACTAGTCGTGCGGCGTAACAAAATGATTTTTACCGCTGTGTAGGTTTTAGTCATTCTTAAAAAAAAAAAAAAAAGAATGAGAAGAATTAAGTACCAATTTATTTGCCCTTTAATTGTCTTCCATCAGTATTCCACTAGAAATTAGAAAATGTTTTCAATCCAGGTCAACGCATCAACTTCGCTAAATTGGAATCACACTTTATTTTCTAAACAGAACGGATGATTATTCCCCTATCCAATGTAAATTTGCATGAAAACAAGACAACTTGGTTCAAAGAAAATAATTTTTTGACAATAATGATGTTCTTGCCTAACTCTCAAATGTTGTTCACAACTCACACTCGAGATTCACTGATGCATTCATCTCTATGAATATTCTCGAAAGGAAGAAGTTGGTTTAATTTCACTTCAAATGCTCACAAAATTTATAAACCAATTTTACTTCCAATTTTCAGACTTAGGGGCGTCGTTTCCTAATACTTAATAGAAAAATTCAAATTATCAGCATTAAATGTTCGAAATACGTCTCTAAATCAATACATGAGTCATTCTAATAAACTTCACCATTTAAACCAGCTGTTGAGTCATTAACAAAGAAAAACATCGAGGGTTTGACTCCCTTGCATTGGCTGACCAGGCTTCTTTGCTGCACCTGCCACGCAATCATCCAAAACTGTTTTGTAAACAGCATAAAACAGGAGATCTCCATTACATCGGTCAATGGCCAGCCAGTTTTTTTTTTTTTTTAATCATAATTTCTTTGTGCAGGCTGATGAATTATTGAAGTGAGATTGTAATATAACTTCACGACATCAGCGGGCTGTGTTGCAGCCTGCGTCGGTGAAGAGGGGGGAAGTGTAGGGTATTTTGGTTGTGTTATGATAAAATTTACCTAATTCCCCCATAAGGCTCTGTTATGTTCTTATGATTCCTCTCCCACCTCCCCCCTTCATTGGGAGTTAATTGGCACTCAATCTTGTATATTCCTCCCCTTATACTCTCTTGGCGACAACAAATTCCCCCTCCGTCCCTACGAAAAACCATGACATTCCCACAAGATCCTCCACTCCCCTCCCCCCAAGCGAAAAATGACTGATGCCTTGTACCAAGTAATTTGGCTAAATGTCTGCAGAGGGTGAACTGATCACAACTTGTTCAAGAACCTGGTTGCGTGTCAGTTTGAGATGGACCTCTAAATAGGTACCAATCTTTTTTTGTCTCGTTTAAAGGAGATAAATGCTGGTAAAAAAAATTACACCGGCTGCCGTTGCCAAAGACCTGGGAGTCATTCTGGATCCCTGTTTGACATATGATGATCACATAGCTTCAACAGTGTCTAGTTGTATGGCGCGCCTAGGCCTGATTAATCGAGTTAAAGATGCCTTTGACTCAAATACCTTATCTATTTTTATTAATGCCTTAGTCTTTGGTAAGCTATATGATTGTTGTAATGTTTGGAGCAACACCTCAGAGCACAACCTGAGTAGGATTCAAGCAGTACAAAATTTCGCGGCCCGTATCGTCAGCAATTCAAGAAAATACGACCACATTTCCCCCATCCTTAAAGAGTTAAACTGGCCACCTGTAAGACAGCAGTTGTATTATCGCCACGCAATAATGGCCTTTAAATACCGACCGCGCGGGAACAAGAATTCAACGCGACAGTAACTGGAAAAACCCTCCCCTTTAAATCCTTGAGGCGTTTAAAGTTTAATTTCTTGGTAAATTTGTTGAATTGCTAACTTTTTATTGGTCAGTCATTAATCAAAAAAAGTGTTTTGGGGCTTGAAGTCCTTCGATGTTTGAGACAAGAGTATAAAAGAAGTAATATACACGGTAAAGATAATTTTTTTTTCGTTGGCGAATTGAAAATTGCAAAAATTGGTTTTTATGAGCCTCAGTCAGGATCTATACCCTATGGCCTGAGAGAGTAACTATTGCCTAGTCCTCCTTACCATGCCACCTCTGAATTACACATGAAGGATACGAGAATAAAGGAAATGATCTTTAAATAAATTCTCCTTGTCAGCACCTTAAAAAAGTGTATAGAGGATGGTAACGAGAATGTGTATACTGATGTTAAGGCGTAAAGGGTTCCTAGACTTAGGCAATGACTTACGGTAATTAACACTTGGCATTATGGTTATGTCAAGATAGGTCGGTTGGGCAACAGCAAGTAGAAACGGTAACGTGGCTTGGTTGTATCGTTGGTTTGATGAAGGGGACATATTGGGCAGCAGTTGTCAATTTTTCCTTTTTTTCGACAGAAGATCCTTGATACCTTCATTGACAATTGTTTGGTCGTTTGGGCATGAACAAGAAGAAACGATAGCGAGGGTTGGTCGTATTGTTGGTTTAGTGACGGCGATATTCTTAAAAGGAGCTCGAGGTGTTTGCGAACGCTATAAAAAAATTCGCCAAATAACAAAGTGACGCACCAGGTTTTTCGGCCGCTTTGACAACAATATGCGAGGCTTTTCAAGGTTGCTATCTTCTTTGAATGAACGAGACAATTTAGTATTCAGCCGTGAATAGATTAACCTACCTTAATTAACTGATTGTTAATGACCAACTAATTGTTTCTCTTACTGCAGACGCATCATACAGTTTCTTTAGAAACTGATAATCTGGTCTAATTATTCACGAACTCAAGAGAGAAGTTTAACTCTTTTGAGCAGACAATCATTGACAGCTTTCTGTCACAAGGGAGAAAACAATAAATTAAAATGTCTGCAATGTTAATAGAGAAATTGACAGACTCACTGTACAAACGTACCTCACTCGTTTTGTTTTGACTGTGTACAAAAAAAAAAAAAAGGATAATTTTCTTTTTATTGGCGTTCTTTGATTAAATTTAAAGGATACATTATTCCTTTTTGGATCAATTTTTGTTCATTTTCTATGGCTTAAAATTGATGTTTTTCTCTCTGAATGACTACAACTGCATTTCTGATCTCTGAACTCTAAAAACATAACCTGTAAATTGAAATATACTGAGTATCAGAGAACTTTTTGCAAGGGCCTCCATGTCTAAAATTAAGTATTATTCGTTTGGGTGTATTCCTTGTATTTGACCACCGTCGGAGTCTAGTACTTCTATTTTTAAACTTGGGCTCCTTATTTTCAAACGTCCTTCTCTCTTAACTCTGTTGAAACTAGCGGCTGTTGACGAATTACGATCAGTCTTGGGAAGTATATTCCAGATTGTATCGGTCCAGGAAAATGCCTTCGTTATGCCTAGTACACGCAGAAAAGCTCTCCTGAACGTATTCACTCGCCAGGCGTAGATTACGGGATTTATCCCACTGCTGAAGTAAACCAGTGAGAGGGTAATATCCCGCGCGAGATGAAACTGCTCGTTTCTTCAAGATGTACAGTGAACGATAACAAAGTCTATGATCAAAAAAGGAATCCACAGGATTAAAAATACCATAAGTACTAGTAAAACTGTTCGCGTTGCTGCTTTTTCCGTACGGAGAGCGTTGCTAAGAGCAAAACTTTTTCCCTCTCCGAGATGCTTCAGCGCGGTACTGTGACGACGTAGCGTGTGGTATACCAAAAAATATGCCCCAATAAAAACTATAGTGGGAATGATACAACCAAAAGCATACAAATAAAGCTGAAACATGTCATTCCTCCATCCAAGCAAGAGTAAAACGGGATAATGAAAAGCTGTTACCCACATAAAGCCAATACCGATCATCACACTGCGCTCATTAACAAGACTTTGCGTCTGAAAGGGCTGCTTTACAGCAAAGTAACGGACTATAGACAGCGCTGTGATGTTGAATAGAGAACAAGACCCAGAGAGCACGGCGAACAAATAGTGGATGAAGTATATCAGGTTGTTATTATCCCAATACGTGACCACCAACAACGGCTCTGAAATGACGCCCATGACAAGATCTGCGATTGCCAAATTTAGAATAAAATAGTTTTGAGCTGTTCTCAATTCACCAAAGGGATCTTTCCAGTACGCCACGCAAAGAAGCAGATTGGCAAAGACAGTGAACGCGGATACAAAGGCGTACACAATCATACTAGGTAGGCTTGTTTTGAACCAGTACTCATCGAAAAATACTGTGTACGATGAAGACATTTTTTAGTCAAACTTTAAAAATGAAACCATATCGTTACTGTGTAGTTAAACAGTTCAGGATTTTCCCTGGGGAAAACGGTTTTCTCTCAACAATCGTAAACCGAAGCATTTGTGCTTTATTCGCCGAGTTTGTGGCATGCAAGCCGAAAGCTTTCCATGATTTATGCGCTCTCCCACAAAGTGATTCCAATTTACAAATTGTTCGTCTTGTCTGAAATGTCAGCCAGATCAAATAAACGTCCATTTATTTATCTTTGGAACATTTTAATTACGAACGATTGTGGTTTCTTTGCAAGGTAGCAGTTATCTGCATAACTTTATTATGTAATTTCATAACCCAAAAGAGATTTCTTCCCGCATTCGACGACTCTTATTCGAGCTTTTAAATTAAACATGGCTTGTACTTTTTGGCGTCTACTTAAGTCGTGGAGCAGGTGAAAGACACATTTGAATAACAAAAAGATATTTTGAGTATTATGCTGAGAAATCATTGATTAGTCCTTACACCCTGACATATTTAGACATGGTTAACTGTGTTTTAATGAATATACTGCTACAGCTGAATAAAATAAACTCTAATTGATCAGGTCTAGTTACATAGTTGGTGAATTAGATCTTGCCTAATAAATGTGTCGAGGCCGACTCCGCCAAGAGCTGTCGGTCTCACATAACCTGTGTTTGAAACTGGGCTCTCTTTCTTGCACTCCTTAGCAGTAACGTCGAAGGCTCCGTCGGAGAAAAAACATTGCGTTCTTTTCCTTTCTGATCCTAGGCGATTACGTGAGGATAAATCCTACATAAATGCAAGTTAAGTGTCTTAATCAATTTTGTTATCCTGTTAATTGCAGTCGACTTTTTTCTGTGTATACCTGTCATGTCGCCGGTCAAGATGTTATATTAGCCCGACAGCAGTTCTCTGTGATAGACCTTACGCCAAAACGATCTCTGAAAAGAAAAATTTATCACAATGGATATTAATAATTTCATAGCTAGAAAGAATATGGTTCAGGTAAAAGGTACTGGAAATTTAAGTGTTGGCCTGAAGTTCTTGTTCGTGTATGCGCGCTTTTCCTAAAGAAAGAGTTATTTTTTTTTTTGTTTGGTTTGGTATTTTCTTTTCCCGCTCAACGAAAAGGGTCTGGGGAATAAGAGATGCTGTTATGTACTCCAAAATGTTGAGATTCTGCAATAATTGCGCCACATTTCTACACATATTCCCTAAGCAATATATTTTTAACCTCAACCATACAAACCGACCTAAAAACTTACATACGATCATAGATGTTCCACCAAACCTATACCGATGGCTAATGCCCCTGGCCTACTGGGACAAGAATTCCTGGATTTGAGACCTGGCCTGATACTGACTGGGTCATTGTGTCGTGTTCTGAGGAAGACACTCCACCCCTCACCCCCGCCTAGAAGGGTGAATAGAAGCGTTGGTACCATGTACTCTGACGCATATTGTTACGAAGACTGGATTTAACTAAAATTTGCTGTAGCGATGTACTAAGGGTCGGAACACAGTTGCAGCGATAGGTTTTCTGCAAGAGGCTGCGTGCCCGAGCGTTTCTTAAAAAATCCTGTTAACTTAAGAGCCTCGAAGCTGAAGGAATAGTGATGTTGGTCTAAGTTCAAAATCCAGTCTATTAGTTCATTATTCTCGTTGTTTGAAATTTATAAAGAATCAATAGCTTGTTCTTGGATGTAAACACACCAACCTAAAAGCAGCATTTTGGCATCGGCGACTGAAAGAAATTTCGAGAAATTCACACCCGCTTCCAAAACGACGCATTTTATCGTGCGTCATATGTCAGATATGTGATGGGATTGAAAACTACCGCAGCGATAAACACTTTCATTGCAGCTTTTCACGGCAAAAGAAGCGAATTGATTGACGTTGACTTGTCCCCTAGACGTACGTGTAAACAGGTCTCTACTAATTTTCGTGCAAAGTAAGCAACACGGAATGCGATGATTTGCTTCAAGTTTAGGCGACTTTTTAATTACGCTTGATGTTTTTTTCCAATGAATACAGATAAAATTCCATCCGAATAAAATCATCTTTAATGAAGTTAAAAATCAAGATCCTCTTTACCTCTGCACGCAAACTTAAAATAGATGCGACAATTTGTATGTTTTCGTTGCTTTTGTAGGTGGAATTTATCGACTTTAAATTTGTTACACTTCACGGAGTATTCCTTATTTTGATTCGAACAACTTAACATTATAATTCTTGTTTATATGGGGGTACTCGCCGGTTTTGGTGAATTCTTGATTAGTACGTGACTGTTATTAATATTTTTCCCCGTCAGACTGTGAGGTGTCGTGGCCAATTCTAAATCATCAACTTGCTTTCGCAAGAAATGGTAACTTCGTAATTACAAATCCGATATCAATCACCTTTTAACGCGTACATTAGTGGACGCTTGTGCCATTTGTTTACCATGTTAATATTCCCTGTTATAATCTGCCAACGGGAAAAAAGTCACCAATTTTATTATTTCCATCCTCGTTGCTTAGGTCTCTCTCTTTCATGTGTAAAATAAGTTTTTTAATATGAGCCGTTAATTTAAAAGCTTGGGGAAACATATAAGAACTCCAGTCTGCATTAGGCTATAAACTAAAATAGTGGATAGCGTTGTAGCGCGCTCTACTTGGCTACTCAAACTCGGAAAATCCTTAATTTGCTCCGTACATCTCGTGCCCAAGTATTTTGTAGTCGTTTCAAGAATATCCATTTCGCTCTGACGAAGGGCTAACGCTCGAAACGTCAGCTTTTTAACTCTTTACGGTGGCCAATTTACAATTTCAACTTACTTGATATTACCGAAATACCTTGCTACCCCCAATTACCCCCGTTATTCGTTGCAGGAATAAATGAGTTCAATGATATTTTTGTGTTACATTATCTCATTGTTTTAGCAAATACTAAACTGAGCAACTAGATGTTCTACCACTTGCCACCTTCACCTCGGTGAATATTTGCTAATTCGTGGAAAATTGCGGTCCTTTATTTCTTAATGAAAGATCTAGTAAAATTGTATCCATGTAGATGTGTTATTGAGCTGTGACTGTTTCTTCAAAGCTTGATAATATTTTGCGAGTGTTTATTTATTTATTTATTTATTTATTTATATATTTCGGTTGAGGACCGGTCTCAATCCGTACCCCCCTGAAAACCATGCGATTCTCCCCCCCCCCTCCAAAAAGAAAAAATAAATAAAAATTCCTCTAACACCCCCAGGTGATAATTGGTGAATGGTCCTTAAGGAAAAAAACACGAAAAAAAAAAAAAAAAAAAAAAAAAAAAAAAAAAAACCTGACTAGAAGGAAAATGCTCAGAAATATAATTTTCGGGATCTTTACATCATTGCTCCTTTTAATTATATATTTAGTTAATCTCGACTCAATACACATAGAGACAAAAAGTTTTAATCCGACTGATTTAAACATAAGTGCAGTTGTCGCCACAAATCCCTTTAACTTTAGATCAGTTTAGAAAAGGAACCTTATTTTTATTCTGGGTCTGTGAATAAAAGAAAGGTTTCTAGGCAGGGTATCTGACCAATAATAAGTGTTGTTCCCGGTTTTTTTGCAAGAGAACGTAATCGAATCATATACTTACCAAATTTTTCTCAGCGATCTCAAGTTGTTACAGTATGTGGGTGACCATAACATGTCTCTGTTGTAAACTGAAATATTCGTCGCTTTCAGTGTTTCAGCTCGGGTTGCGTGGGTCAAAGGAAGCCTGAAAAGAGAAAAATTCTCGACATGAAATCTTTTTACGATGACGATATTTACAACCGCCCGGTCAACGTCAGCTGAATTCAACAAAAAATTCCCTTTGCAGAGGGAAGTCTACAATTTATCATTAGCTCAGTGTCCAAGCCTTTTACACCGTAACATCTGTATGCATATTTTCCATACTGTTCACTATATTTCCTTAGGGTGCCGACTAGGAGAATCTGTTCAACAATCAAGAACTTCTTTACTCGGTGATCTTTTCCTTTATTCTCGTCACCTTAATGAGGGAATCAGGGGTGATTTTGTAAGGAGATACGAGAGGCTAGTCAAAGGGTAAAAATTTTAACTGTGTACATTGAAATCGTGTTTAAAAGGAGCAACTTATGGCGAAGCAGTCTAAAGAGCGACCAGCTTTTTCCTCTTTTACACAGTAGATAATTTGCCCACCCACCAACTTCCTACTCAAAAATGACAAAAAAGAATCAAACAAAACAAAATTCAGGAAAAAATAACCAAATATGAAGTTCCTGTTTTAATTTTACCATCAAGCCGTGGGTTACTCCCTTCCCTTCCGGTTTGATTGAGTGTGTAGGCGTCAATGTGAAAGGATCCGGAAGTTCCAATCGACTTCCTTCATATACTGATATTCACCAGTGGACAAGTAACAGAAATTTTTCATTTATGGTCTATTGAAATTCAGAATTGAAATTTCACGACAGGATTCATGATCACCAAGAGACTCCTGTGATCACTCATTTTTAAATTTTATCCAGATTTGATTTTCTCTTGGAAAGGGATTATACTATATCAAGAGAATCCATGGTTTAAGTGTAAAATCTTTTCTCAGTTTTGAGTGCAAATCAACATTCTCTTAACATTAAGGTATGAATAAAAGAGAGGTACCTTTCGATCGATATTGAAGTTTACAAATATTGCACTCCACACGTGCCTATATTTGCACATCTCGGACAGCATGCTGGGAACAGGGATTTTAGGCTTTTACTGCAGGGTGCGTCAGCCTCGATACCGTGAGTTAGACGAAACGGAAGCTGACTCAAACATGGCGGCGCCTCCACCGCCAGAAGTTGTTCGGGGCCAAGCATTCGATGTAGGACCTCGCTATACGAATCTCAGTTATATAGGAGAAGGGGCTTATGGAATGGTTTGGTAAGGGAGTCGCTGTTGACACCGGCTGTTGCGTTCTTCCAGCAAATTCGAACTGAGTACAGCTTCGCGACTGTATTCGGTTTGGCTATCCATTCACTTGAGTGAAATTATAACGTTTTGTGTTCTTGCTCTTTTTCTTTTTTACACAGTTCAGCGCTGGACAATGCCACAGGACAGAGAGTCGCTATCAAGAAAATTAGTCCTTTCGAGCACCAGACTTACTGTCAACGGACATTGCGAGAGATTAAGATATTACGTCGATTTAAACACGAGAATGTGAGTAGTGTAAAAAAACACGAGTTTAGGATTGGAGTACCCTTGAAGACGGACTCTTGAGAGGAACGTGACGTGTATGGGAACATTCCATCAGCGCTTTAGACTGTTTTCAAGGATTACATCGGCCTTGTATATCGTACAATGTCCCGTTTTTGAGTTAACTATCTTCTTCATGTACGTGTCACACATCTTGGACCCTGTGGTTGATAATTTCCTACCTTTTTTGCAGATCATCGGAATAATGGACATAATCCGCGCTCCAAACATGGATGACATGAAAGATGTGTATCCTTTGAAAACTACGCTGAGTATTGCAACCATTTCTTAAGAAATGTCTGATTTTCCATGACGGTTAAGGTCGGTGGTAATATGTGCGGAACAATTACACTGTAAATTCGCTTATCTTGAGCAGCTTTCCAAAGCATGAAAATCAAAGTGTTAAAAGAATGACGCATGTCACCCGATGCTTATTAATTTTATGAAACATTTGTGAAAATTGGCATATTTTAAGTTTTATTTCCAGTTCTCAGCGTTTCTTGAGTGCCAAAAAAACTCTCATCCAGCGAAACACTACGTGTTGCAACATTTTGCGATCTGCAACAGCGATTTTCTTCAATAGCCGTGTTAGAGTTGGTTGTTTCTCCTCGTAAGCATGCCATGTTTATATTTTTTTAACCGCAGTACCGGCTGCCTTCCTTTAACAGCTGCACTACTGTAAACGAACTTTGCTTAAAGCGTCATGATTGTAAAATTAAAACCCCAAATATTTTTTTTAATCCCAAATTTGTTAGTTACAATTGTCAAACTTTGTTTTAAACCATTAATACGTTCTTAACCAGTTTATTTTCCCGTTTCATTTTTAAAATAGTACCGTGACTGTCTCTTTAGAGGGCAAAGCTTATCAAATAAAGTCAATTGTTTACGTTGGTCATGTTTTAAAACATGACATTGTGGTGTCTTTACATCTCTTGTTGTCTATTGCTGAATGTTTGTAATGTCTTTGGATTTGGAGTTGTTTTGTCAATACATAATTTAACTAGCTGTGGTTGATCATACAGAGTAGTCTTGAGTGTAAAGCTCTTTGTAACTGCATTGCAGAAGGATGATACAAAAATTCTTATGCAGAAGACATTTTGGAATGAAAATAACTTCTTAGCCATGTTACAACTATATGTTTTAGTGTTAAAAATCACGTAACTTCTGCACTTTAGTGATAATGCTCACCATTAACCAATCACACAGGAGAATCATCATGGATTAGCCAGATGTTCCATTGCAAGCTAACATCTGGGAGGAAGATGTGCAAAGAGGCTTGTGTGATAACCTTAAACTTGTGCTAATCTACCACTGTAGTTTGTTTTCCTTAACCCTTATTTTCCATGTAGCTACATTGTTCAGAGCCTGATGGAAACAGATCTGTACAAGCTACTTAAGACACAGAAATTGAGCAACGACCACATCTGTTACTTCTTGTACCAGATCTTGCGTGGACTGAAGTACATCCACTCAGCCAATGTGCTTCACAGGGATTTGAAACCAAGCAATCTCTTGCTGAACACAACTTGTGATCTCAAGGTACTTGTATGGTAGAATACAATTTTATTGAACTTTCTGTGTTGGATTCCAAGTCTCCTTGAACTTCGCTGTAGTCAAAAAGTTAAAATATTCTGTAAACCTAAATTTATGGTGAAAATCTAATGTAAAAATAAAAGTGAGAAGAACCTCTTGAAGCCCTTTATTGATAGAACTAAAAGCTATAACAGAGTAAATGGTTTTGATCCCGGCAGTAAAACTTGATCGTGTTCTCTGTTTGTTCAGTTGATGGTTAGTCACTGCAACTGTCATTTTTTACCTCAGCACAAGTCAGCTCTTATGAACCAAACTTAAACCCTTGGCACTGTAGCACATGCATTCATATTCTCCATACTGTCCTTAATTCCTATGATACTGACAAGGTGAATTTGTTTTACAGTCGGGAGTCTTTTTGAATTGATGATCATTTCTGTTATTCTTGTGATGTGAACTTTTGATTAAGGGTGGTACTATGAGGAGAAATTAGAAGCTGGTCACTTGTGGAGGTCAAAGGGTTAACCAACAGAGCTGAATAACATATGTGCACATGCTAGGTTTTGGCATGGAAACTCGAATTTTGAGTGGTTCGCTTGGTTCATTTTCTATTCTGTTGTTTCGAGGCATTGTTTTCCTTGCCAATTTTCTTTTGTAGAACAACTTCCAAAAACTTTGTACACCCCTAAATATATTTGAAAATTATATTTCTCATAAAAAACTTTGGAAATAGGTAAATGCCCTCAACAAGAACAAAATGCCTCAGTTTTAAATGCCAGCTTATCATTGTTTTGGTAAATTTCGCTAAATTTTAAACGTAGCATGCTTAAGCCCGTGTTGTCGACCATACACCGTTGATGTTATTCAGCTCTGTCGGGTTAACCATGGATTGATCAGGAACAGGCAGTTTGCACACTCTGATTGCATTGCATTGTGGTAGCATTATTTTCAATATGGTGGTAGAAGCGGCAGAAATTGGCAGATTTTGGCTGAACATTCCGTAAAAGTTAGGCCGTTTCTTTTTCCTTTCACTATGGGTAAATATAATTTGATATTTTCTGAATGTGTAGAAGTATTTTTTGTACATATTTGTCACATATTCAATTGTTCTCAAGGATAAATGCAAGCACTGTTTTTCAGTATGTAATTTGAGACCGGTTTTTCAAGAAGGTCAAATTCATTGTACATCGTAGTTTGAAGTCTTTCAAAGATTTTTATGGCCACCTTGATTCAATCTTGATTCAATCTTGATTCAACACCTTCTTCAACAGCCCTGACTAAACATGTTCAAACATGCTCCAATAGTACAAATGCATTTTAACTTAAGTGATGGTGTTTGAGACCCTCTTATTGAGCGAAAAGGCCCATTGGTGCATTTAGTGTGTTGAGTTACATAGCATTACTACTGCAAGGACAATTATGATATACTCAATCATGTTGTAAATCTACTTTCCTAAGTGAAGGAAAATTAACTAATTGCAAGTGTTTTGTATGGTTAATCTTCTATCTTCATCATTGAATGAAGGACAGTTTAATTAGAGCAATGAAAAGAGTCACTTCATCCATGAAAACTTCTACCTTGGCATGAGGCAACATGCCGGAAAGCCGAAAAGCAAAAGGCAGTCGACCATTAAAAGGTGTTGATAGGCCTGTGCGTCTCCTACAATTCACTAGTGTTTTTAAATTTTCTACCCTCAAAGTTCAGCTCTTATTATGATATCTCTTGATAACTTTCCTTTGTGATCTGATAATAAGGGTCAGTTTTTGAGGTGTCATTTCCCCATCTGTATATTCTTGAGGTTTGGCAAAGCCAGATGAGATTGTGTTATAAAGGGAAATATTTTCTGTGTGCACAGTATTTCTTTGTTTTAAAGTATACTTCTCTCCTGTAGAAATAACTCTAGAGATACATTTCTCGAAACCCTTATCTAGGTTTCCTCTATTCTCGAAGAGTATTTT